ATATACTAATGGTACTACTGCAATAAATAATTTTTCATTTAATTACATAATACTCCAAAGAACACAGAATATAAACATGCAAAAACAGAATATGTCTGACAACTATTACAAAGTTTCTGGCTTTTTAACTATGCAACAAGAGTCATTAGAAATTCAACTAAGCTTGTCGAACCCCCTCTTCTCTAACTTATTTATCACCCCTCTGAGAAGTACAAAATTTAACTTAAATTGCTTATTATATTATTGCCATTGCTCAGGGAAAGCATAGTTTTCACAGCGTTCAATTTTATTTAGTTTCAGAGCAAGAAAATTGAAAATTGGACCCCTCTTGCCATGCCAACCTTTCACATACTTTTTTCAGAAATTGTCAGAAATAGTTCTCTCTGACTTTCAATACTATATTATTTATAACCAATAGAAAGCCAAGCTTTTAATCTGTCAAATGACATATTATATTATGTTGCTTTATGCACAGAGAATTGTCAGTTTTGCTTTCAGTTTAAGCTTTATTCCCACAGGAAACACAGGTTTTCTAAAATGCATCTTTGTAATTACAAAAATTAATTTGTCTTTCCCCCTTCACTTGAGAAAATAAATGAGGCTTACAGCAAAGTTTATCAAGTATGACATGCAAGTACAAATCAATTCCATAACATCATAAGTAATATAAATTGTATTTCTATTATCTTCTATGTTTTAATAAAAGTAACTAACAATTTAACATTTGTAAGTAAATAGTATTCATATGTCTACATGTTCATAAGCACATACACACTTTATACACTATACCACTAACTTCTGAACACTCAGGAAAGACAAATCACATCCAGACATCTACAAAGTTTATTGATCGATCCCAACTTTGTACAGAGCCATATCATAAACATTTTCTCACACTTTTATTACTTTAGACAATTCTCGTTACAATCACTGTTCTGTAAGCAAGCTAATATGTAATCTTCCACTGTGTTCTCAGAGCCAAGATTACAATAAACTCTGTGGGAAAGTAATGATAATTGTGGCACACAAGGTTATTTGCTGTTGATGGTGTCTTATTACAATATCACGTAAACAGTCTAATGGCAGGAGCAGTAATTCATTGCTTTATGTTCGGCAGGTTTCTACTTCAGCTGCTAATAGTAAAATAAACATAGTAAATAGATGTGAAAAGGTTAGAAGTAGAAACTCTCAGTGAAAGTACTTTGGAAATTCATAGTCAATACTTTATTTTGCATTTTTCAACCTTTAAAAAAATATTATGGCTGTTACAAGGTTGATCAAATTGACAAACTCTGTATAGTTAGGGTAGAGAAAATGACAAATAAACAAAGTTTTTCTGAAAAACAAATATTTCATTTTTATTAAGGAGGTTTTTTTATATTGGAGAAATGAAATTCAAAATTTTTAGATGAAGAAAGGTATTTTTAATCTTAACGTGAACATTGCTTTGCACTCGGAGCAGTCAACACTCTGACTTCATAAATTCACTCACATATTTTTACTAAATATACTTAATTAAAAATTCAAATCTTTTTTGTCTACAAAAACTTGTAATGTGTACTAAGAGCTTGAAATATTTTGTGAAGATACAAAAACATGTTAAAAGTTAGAGTATGGAAACTGTTGCAGTTACTTTGGGGTCACGTGATCGGCATAATCCACTGAGGCAGCAGAGAAAGAGTTAATGAGTGTTTTTAATCTAAATGTAGGGAATATTTTTTTTTCAGAAGAATTGTGAAAGGTGACAAATTTCAGACTTGCGTGTATCATTGTAATAGATAATAGCTGCTGTCAAAGCTTGACTTTTATAGTTGGTTTGCTAAACTATTGTGCTTTGTTATACAGATCTGTTGCCATATTTGATGCTTGCAATTGCACAATATACACCTGTGGTCAAATACCTTCAAGTGTTCAAGATAGAAAATTAGTTGGAAGAAAATCGAGGCAGGTGTATGAACTCTCAGCCAAAATACTTTGTATAGTGATTCATCTTAAGACCACAATTTTTACAGTTTCTTCCTGTTGCATACAGATATATTCACTTTGCATTATATTTTCCAATTCTGACAATAGGGGAAGCATACTGTTTTTGTTTATTTTATGAATAACAATTTAACTTTCATAGAAAATTTCACATGGTGCTGACAGTGAAGTTTAATTGCTACTTGGAAATTAAAAGGCTCAGCAATTCGTATCTTGATATTAATTTTGGATGATATGGTTTGGTTATTAAGGGTCTTGGCATTCTTAGATCCTTTCGTGTTAGACAGGTTAAAATAAAAATGTTTATATGCCTTTGAGCTGCAACCATAAACCAACATAAACTTTTCCCTTAGGAAACATGCTTTTATTAGTCCTGCTTCGATATTTGCATTCATGAAACTTAATAAATATCCAGGAGGATAAGATCTTCAAGGCTAAGTTTTTTTAATTGCCCAGTATGCTAATTAATTATGTGTTATGATAAGTAGTATTAAACTAATCCTGATGTGTATTAATATGATATTGAATTTATCAAAATTTATTGAAAATTTAAACCTCTATTGGACATTTCATCTTTGGAATAAATTGCCCTCTGTTATTTATGTTTAATGTCCAGTCAATGTTTCCAAAGGGGATTATTGTAGGACATAACAGTATGGTTACAGGTGTTGACTTTTTCTTCAACTTTGCTCAGTTGTTATATTCATTCTTCCAAAAACTTATAAAAGTTACCATGTAAGGTGTTAAGAGTCAGTATTATATTGATTACAATGACAATTTTAATACATTTTAGATGCAGGTATTTACATGTTTTTAACTGGGATTTTGTCTGAAACAATAGTTAAGAGATACATCGTAACAGTTTTACACAGAAGCAATGTAGTTATTTTTCATTATGAAAATATAATTAAGGTAGACTGTCTCAGCATAGTTTAATAATGGAACACTTACTTCTGTTATTATGACTATTCATTGAAACACCCTAGTTTAATGTCTGTTATAATAATTTTATTTAAAAAATATGCATGAAGGAATAGTGTGAGAAAGTTTTCAAAATTGAATACAAAAATGAACACTTTTCTTGATTTTGCCAGACACTTTTCATGAGCTGAGCCATATTTTAGTCTGAAATGATGATGTTCCCACTTTTCGTTTTCTAGGGGCGAGGATACGTTAACTGTGAAATATGTGGTAAAAAACTGAGGGAGGTCAGTATGATTCCACACATGAAAAATGCACATCCAGTTAAAAGTCTTGAGACTATGGAAGAGAAAGATGAGACTTTTAATGAAGGAACAAAAATTCCAAAGCGAAAAGCTGCAATGAAGTAAGTTTGATGGTTTAAATGAAACCAATGTATATATATATAAAATACCTTGCACGTTTTTTCTTTCAAAATGTACTTATCAATTTATACTGGAATAGATTATCTAATTTTGGGTACTTTAAACATAATAATCATCTAATAATATCTAATTTATAACGGATAAAGACAAAGAACTTTGTTTGATTATCACTTTGTGTTATAAGTTATTTTACAAGCATAAGAACACGTCATAACTTTAATGCAGTTTGGTAAGGTGCAGGTAACATTACTGTGGAATTACAACTGCATTGTATATTTTACGGTTTGTTATTTGCACTTGATTGTGAGACACAGTTATGAAAAGCACTACAAATCCTTTAATGTTTTTTCTGGTGTAATTTTAGAGCCCAACAGCAAGTACAGAGTTATATAAAGAATCTAGCAGAAAATGTTGACTCAAAGAGTAGAACGTGTTCAGTATCAGATTCATACAGTGGTACATCAAGTGAATATGATGAAGATGAGGAAGAGAAAGATGGGTATACTAAAAGAAAAATTCAGGTGGAGGACTTGATTCCATGGAAGGGTTTATTTAGTGAATTGGATGTGATTCAAAAAACAGAAGAAGAAGGCAGTGAGGTACTGCAGGAGTTAGAACAGAATAATCAACTAATATGCCGAAAAAATGTAAGTTGTTAGAATACAATTATTCTATAGTTCCAAAGTTTAATATTAATTCTTTTTAAAAAGCTTCGTATTAATTCATATTCTTCATCATATAAAAAAAAATTGAAGACACCCGTAGAATGTGTAAAATATTAAATGAAATTGATAAGAATATTATCCCCAAAAAAACCATACAAACCTGTTAGTGTTTGTGTAAAGTTCTACACTTGCTCTTGTCCTCGTGGAAGCAAAAAAAAGTTTTGTTTTGGTAAAAGAAAAAAAATGTAGGGGAATGATATGAATGTAAGTGTGTATGTGTTTTAAAATTTTCAACTTAATTTCTTTCCTGGAGGTTTCATTTGGATGTGAAACTAACAGATATATGGATAGATTAAAAAAAAAACAGTTATTGGCACAGGGAAACATAAAGTTTTATTACTTAATCAAAGCTAATTGGTTTAGTAAATACAAACAAAATAATAAAAAAAGTCGAGGTTTAAGTACTTTATTTCCTAAAGTAATTGTATTTTTCCTACAAAAAATTAATTTAGGCAGATCATTGTTTCAACTTTCAAGTTGTTATCAACCAACATACCTATACTTTTTTTTCTTCAACAAAAAATGTTTATAGCTACCTGCATAGAAAATTGTATCAAATATTCAACTTTTAGCTATGTGTGCTTACTTTATCCTGAGAAGGCCAGCTTGTCAGGAATGATTAAGAATTTTTTTTAAATAAAACATCTGTAGTATCTTCATCCTTAGGTTTTGTTTATAAATTTATCCTTTGATATGAATTTTACTTAAATTTAACCTTGTAAAATATTAAGGCTTTTCAAATGGTAATATTTGGCTTCTCAGGGTTGTGGGAAGACATTTCAGTCCATAAAAGGTTTGAAAATTCATTTGGCCAGCTGTGAAGCAACACTTGAGAAAACTTGGCGATGTACAACATGTGAAACCAACTTCAAGGGGATTGATTCACTCTTCAACCATTTAATTTGCAATCATCATGTATGTAATGTATTTATAAACTTTTTATCAGTGTTGGAACTATTAACTGTAATTTTCACTGATTCTTCGTTGTACTTAATCAGTAATATAATATAGGTTGACTTAATGTATGTGTGTATGAGTAAAGTTAGTTTTGATGAACAGTACCGTCAAGTTAGTGGAGTCTCACATTTCTAACACTGCTACAGTCTACGTACTATTTTCATTTTATGATATAATTATTTGGGCTTGTTCTGTTTGAGCTCTAGGTAAGTGAAATAAGATAAGTGTATGTTTATTTCATATGCATATAATTATGCACATTTGCCATGTATTCTTTTGTTAATGACCGAACTTTATAACTGGATAATTTCGGGTATGGTAGCAATTGTTTAGATTGCTACAAAAAATTACTATTAAAATTTATTCTGACAAGTTCACACAGTATGTTGTGACTGTTTTTACAGGGGTTTAATATATAATAAGAGTTTCTTTGTTTACCTAACTATGAAGTAGTTTTTTATATTAATTTGAAAAAAATTAAATTATGTTGTTTGGCATTTAATTCCTTGAATCGCTTGGTTATCTTTACAAAAAATAAATAGAGAATACAGGTATTATTCATATATGAAGAATGGGGTGAGAACATGCTTTATAAAATGGGCAAGTCTTCTTAGGTATTTTGGACATTTGTCACTGACAAGGTACAACATAAAAATTATTCTATATATTTAATATGGGACACATTTAATTAAATCGTTCAACTATATTATTTAATGATCACGGATCAGGAACTGTATTATTACTGGAAAGATATTTTGCAAATAAACTAAATCCAATACCTTAAATGAAATGAAATAAACTGGGAAAAGTTTTAAAAAATTGATATTAAGTAATATATAAGAATGTATTTATAGCATCTTATTTTGTTTTTAAGTAATGTTACAGTAATTTATATCAGCTAAACTTATTTTTATTTCCCTTTCTATTTAAAGGAATACATAACTGCAGAATATGCTAATGGTAAGTGAAGTTTTTGTTCATACTTCTAATTTTTATTTAATGTTAACTGGGCCCAGCATGGCCAAGTGGTTAGGGAGCTTGACTCGCAATCTGTGGGTCGCGGGTTCAAATTCCAGTCACACCACACATGCTCGCTCTTTCAGCCATGGGGGCATTATAATGTGATGGTCAATTCCACTATTCGTTGGTAAAAGAGTTGGTGGTGAGTAGTGATGACTAGCTGCCTTCCCTCTAGTCTTACACTGCTAAATTAGGGACGACTAGTGCAAATAGCCCTCATGTAGCTTTGCGCGAAGTTCAAAACAAACAAACAATAATGTTAATTATAAATATTTAACTTGTCATTACATGCTTTAAGTTTTTGAACACCTGCAAGTTAATGGTAATATGGCAGTCATGCATCTAGTATTATGTAAGCATGATAATTTTTCATCAATTGGAAGCATTCCTTCTGTTTGACCTCTCTCAAAGATGTCTTGTGCTTTGTGTGAAATTAAGAAAAATCATGTGTGGGGAGAAGGATAGTAATGTAGACAGTCAACCTGTTGATTGATAAGTAGAAAGCATGTGGGACAAATCTGGATTATATTGTTCTTTCCATCTTCCCAAGTGAGAAATGAGTTTAGATTTCAGATAATCAATTTGCAGTCAACTGAAGTATGATTGACTGTCTCACATGATGGTTTCCAACTGTGTAAGTTGTTTTCTTAAAAGACCCCATGATTACTGTGAAAATAAGTTTTTTCAATACAAACCAAAGAGCTGATAATCAAGACTTGTAATGGTCGACATACAATACCTTAGTGATTAACCCTATCTGGACTGACGAATACTTTTCAAATGTCAACTGTACACTTGTATATCAAGTTTGAAAATATGATTCCAACTCTACTTCAACAAATTATTACTTCAAGATATTTTATCATTATATAACATTTATGTAGTGTAATTCACAAAAAATTTAACTAATGCCTAATTAGGGCTAAGTATTGCCCAGAAAAATTGTATTTCAATATTTTGCAATACAATTTCTTTTATAGCAATGTACATTGAAAACTTTCTTTACTTGTAAGTTTGCTGACTTATGATTAGAACCACCTTTTTAGCATCTTTTCCGGGTCTAAATGCTTCCAAACACCACTTTTGACTCGTTTCTTCACAATAAACTCAGTCTTTCTTCAGCTCACCTGCCATTTTGGAAGAAACACAACTGTCATGAAATAACATTGTATAGTCTCAAAGTCATAATTAATGTGAAGTATTTACTAGAAGTATATCTTTTTAATGAGACTAGCTGATAAAAAGGCTATTTTGAATATTTTGGAAAAGATTTATAACTTTCTTTGTTAAAATTCAAAGTATTAATATGTCATGCCATTGAGAGTATAGACAGTTCTTTCTTACCAGAAGTACATTTCTTTACAGTAGCCTTATTAACGATAATTTACTCATTTACATTGAACTCTCACTTAAAGGATTTAAAAAGTGAGATCTTGAAACTGCCACCAGTTTAACTTTTATTAAATAATTTTTTTTTTAATTCATAAAATACAACAGACAAATCGATACAATACGTTCGTATCGTGATGCATCAAATTGGCAATAATACTGAAATTCACTAGTGCATTGGTTTATCGTATCCTGGTGGGATGGTGATAAGTCTTTGGATTTACGATGTTAAAATCAGGGGTTCGATTCCTCTCAGTGGACATAGGAGATAGTCCAATGTGTCTTTGCTAGAAGAAAAACACACACATTGGTTTATCGTTACACCCCTATGTCCAACTTTCATTTTCGCAGAGCTCAGAGATATTCTCAGCTGTAAACAGTCCATTCATTAATTTTTTTTAGAATTTGTCTGGATTCCCTGGGTATAGGCTTATATTTGTTAAGAATCTGTCATCACTTGAAAATATCATGATTCATGTCTTGTTTCATGTGATTTTTCCTTCTCTTTTAGTGGTTTTATTACTACAGCCCTTCATTGTCATCTTTTCATGATGTCACACAATCTTGTCTAAACAATTACTAACAAAACTAGAGCCAGTGGCTAAAAACAATATGATAGAAGAGATTCTAATCTGTATACGTCAGTACACGGTAAAGTGGTTTCGGCAGTAATTTGATTATATCTGTTAGAAAGCTACAGGAATATTTCTTTCTTTCTAATTTCATTTTTATACTATGCTAAAAGAATCAAGTATCCATCTGTTACAGAAAACCATAGAAATGTTTTATCTTTAAATAAACTACTATAGATAAAAATGCAAAAGTGAATTCAGACAATGACAGTTATTTCTTTACTGCTTATTCACTAGTTATTTATAGCATGTATCTTCTGTTGAATCAACTAATTCTTAAATTAATCATACTGTCTTCAACAAAGTACACAAACCACATTTGTACTTAACACTAATGTTATTGAAATCAATAACAACAATAGAAGTAGCAGTGATTATTTGAGTGAGTGGGTAATGGTATGATGATGAATGCTTGATACAGATCATATGTATATAAATACTTTAACATTAAAACTGATGGGTTTCTTAAATATAATTGCTACAAAAATTGGTCTGTTCAAAATTAATGTTTTTAAGATATATATGTAATGCTTATCAAGTTATTTTATTGAAGATAAACAGGGCGAAAGAAACTGTAAGATATAAACCTGGCTGAAATGTCTAAATAAGCCAGTTTTGGAGTTGTTTATGGACAACATTCTTTCTTGATTGGAAAGAGATATACTATTGATATGTAAAGAGCTCTAACCAACATTTTCTAACATTAACTCATACAGAGTGTGTGTGTGCGTATGCCTCCAATTTACAGAAGTACTCCACAAGACTGAAAACAGTATATTTTCAGATAGCAAGTATTCACTTCCCAAAAGAAAGCTGCATAATGTCTTTAAAGAGTATGGGTCAGAAAGAGTCGATAAAATGCCTTTTGAACCTGCTATGAATTGGACTTTAGACTTGTAAGTGGTTCTAGAATTTATATATTTTTTCTTAATGCCATCCTGTATGATACATATATTTGTGTGTGTATGTATATATATTTTTTAATGGGTATCACTTACACTTTAATAAAGTTTTTTTAGGGGTTCAATCATTCTACGTGTGCAACTTGAATGTTTTTTAATAGTAACTTTACTTGTTTATTGACTTAAGATATTCATGATATTGTTTGAGTGATTTTTCTATGTGTGTTTTCAACACTTTTGCATTATTTATGGGATTCATTTTGGTAAAAAGGCTAACAACCAGATGCTAACCAGATATTTAGTGACATGAATACATTTTTGGCATTTTTAAAAGGATTATGTTTTTGAAACAACAGAATTATAAGAAAATCTAACAACCTTATTAAAAAGTTGAGAGTTTTTTTTACTCAGAAGGATTGTGACTTAATGGATACTTATTGTAGTTGTCAGAAATTCATACACATATCTGTCTTTTATTTTACATAGCAATACAAAGCTCTCGCACGTTTGAAGGAGGGGGTTAAACTGCTAAATATATAGTGGTATTGAAAATACTATTAACAAAAAAACAAGTACTTACTGAGTTTTATAGTCTTAAATCATGTACTATTTACTACTAACTTGTTCTAGGTATTGAAGAAATTTAATGGTGGATATGTTGAAGAGTTCAACAATACTTAAAAGATTCTTTTTTTAAAAAATTGATTAAAACTGGACCACCAACATAGAACAGATCTTTTATTAAAACATTCAGTTATATTTGGTAGATAATCATTTCATATTTTACCTGCTTATTTATTATTGTTTATAATATTCCCTGATTACTACACTGTTTACTTTCTCATAATTCAAGAAATATGTACTTTCATTACAGCCGCAAGAATCATTATAAGAAAGAATTATTTTCCCAGTGGAAGCCACGTGTAAAGGACTGGGAAAAGTTAAGTCCCATGTAAGTATCAAGTTTAGAAGCAATTTTATTTTTGATAATCAGTGTAGCTTATAGTTGATACTTCTTAGGCTACAGAATCTGTATTTAAAAAAACTTCACTACAGTTTTATGAATCATTAATTATAATAATATGTAATTTGTTATTAATTGAGTTTTAATATATTTCTTTGACAGGTTGTATGTATATTTTTTATTAAACCTCTTGCCATGGGCATCATCTTCTGTGCATATCATGAAGTTTTAGTGAGTTACATACAAAATTTAATTAATCTACTTTGTTATCATGGTATATGAATAAATTTGACATAAAAATGCAGCTAATAAATCAAATTTTAATAGTATATAAGTTTTAAGTTATTAACTTTGTAAGACAATATTAAAAAACAATGCTGAATTTCTCCTAGTGTGAAAATTGTGACATTTTTTCTCTAGACAAAAAGTTATCAATTTAATGTACTAGAACACATGAAACCATTGTAATTTACCTGGCTCTCTAATTAAGCTATAAGTGGGTTACAAAAATATAATTTCTGTTCAGAGGAACAACTTACTCAATAGATTTCAACATTCCAGTCAAATTACAAGTTTCCTCTTCAAGCCAATTAAAAACAACTGTCAGAATTATATAGTTTGGAATGTGCTCTTTCTATTAGTTATAAACATGTATTTAAGAGAAGTAGGTGTGAGAAGACAAGAGGTTTCAAAATAATGGAGTAGTGGGTGGGGCTACTCTTGTAGGTTTGCAAAATATATTGATATCTTGGCAAATCAAAAAGATGGGAGGTTTTTATTTTACATTCTTGCTTGCAAATGTCTAAAGTTTGAGCTTCTAATTATTTAACCATTATAGACTTCGTATGGTAGGCATAACCAAATATAAACTGAACAATAAGACATGCCATACGACAAAAATATTTTCTTTCAAATTAAGAAATCAAAACGTATACAATATTAAAATTTCAGTTATAAACTAAGTTGTGATGCCAATTATATTGACATACAATTATAATAAAGTTGTTTAATTAAGTTTTGAAAATAACTCTAAAATGTTGTGACATAAGCCCTTTGACATGTTTCAGTGAGAGGGTTAAAATGCATCTGTTGAGGAAGGCAAGGAGAAACCACTTCAACTACTTTCCCTAGTATGGCACATATCAAGAATAATGACTTTGAAATAAACAATGTAAACAGAGCCATGCCATTTAATCATGGGAGAACTGCACCTGGCAGAGAAAGAAGTAAGGCTTCCCAGGTTAGCAACAAGTGATATTCTTACAGAACCAAAGAAAAAGGAACTGTAATTAAGACTGGAATATGGAATGTTAGAATAATGTTGAGAATGCAGAAATTAGAGAACATCAAGAAAAGGATGCTGCATGCCTAGATGAAAATTTTGAAACTGTGTGTAGTATAGTGGAAGAGTGAAGGAGATTTTAACAGTGATGAGGAAAGAGTTATATATGCAGGTGGACAGGACAGACAGAGAAGAGTTGCAGTACTACTTGATGAAAAGACAGTAAAGAGTGTTATCAAGATAGTTTGAGGAAGTAATAGCTGTTACTTGTTCCAAGCAATGAACATTGTGATCATTCAGGCCTACATGCTAACATCTGACTAAGATGAAGAGATAAATAGATGTAGTCTATGAACAGGTGGAAGAGATGATTGATGCAGAAAATGGAAGTGATTATGTGGTAATTATGGGTGAATGGAATGCAGTTGTAGGAGAAGGAAGAGTTGGTAAAGACATTAGTAAATATGAGTTAGAAACTAGAAAGGAAAGAGAACACGTTGAATTCTGCAGATGGAGAAAACTACATAGCAAACACCTGGTTCTAGCATGAAAACAAAAGATGATATGCCTGGAAGAAACAAGGTGATTTTGAAATATTCCAGCTAGATTATATTACAGTCAAACAGTGATACTGAAACATCATGCTAAACACTCAGAGCTATCCAGAATCAGGTGCAGGTTATTATCATAATTTAGTGATGTTCACTTGAAAGCTGAGACTGAAGAAAATCATCATAAGTAAGAGAAGAAAGAGATGGAATGTTTATTTACTGAAAGGACAGAAAGGAGTACCATTTAAGGAGCAGAATGAAGAAGCAACAATGCAAAAACAAGTAGGCAAAGTAAGGGACTTGAATAAGGGCATTGGAATAACAAAAAGAAAAGAATACTCATAAGCTCAGAGAATAACATCAACATCAGAGAGAAACGGGTAGAAGACAGAACAAACTGAGAAAATGATAAAAAATGTAGGTGAGAAGAAAAAATACAGGAAAGGAACAACGAATTGAGAAAAAACTGATAAAGCAAGAGAAACTTGGTTGGACAGGGAATGCTAATATTTAAAGGACAGAAAAGACAAGGAAGATGAAACTTACCGTACAAAGAAGTGAAAAAAAAATCACAAGAAAATGAACTAATGCAAGTGGTACTACACAAATAAAAAAATCAGGAAAAGTCAAATAAAAGTAGAAAAGGTAAAATGAAAAGCTTTACGACAAGGAAGATAATGGTCCTTGCAGTAATCAAACATATGAAGATTAGAAAGGGAGAAGGAATCAATAAAACTCCTTCAGAAATGATAAAACTATGAGAAGAAACAATAAATGATTTGACCACACTCAGCAACAAGATGTATGAGAGAGGTGAATGGCCAGCAGTGATACTAATCCAAAAGAAATCAAATGTAACTGACCTTCCAGATTTCAGAGCAATTATCTTGATACCACACATGTTGATAATCATGCTAAAAATTACTCATTCAAAGACTGAAAAAGAAAACAGAGGCTTACATTGCAAGGGATCAATTTGTGTTTAGGAAAGGATGTGGAATGGGAGAAGTGACTGAAGTAATGAGAACTATATGTGAAAGGAGCTTGGAATTTAACTAAGAGGTAATTATGTTTCACTGATTTTCAGAAAGCTTTTGTAAGAGTATTAGAATGATTGGAGTGGACTAGAAAGATAGAAGGTTGATTGCAGCTTTGTACATGAGTTAACCAGCAATAGTGAGAATAGGTGAAGGTGAATCAGGTGATGCAACAATTGGGAGAGGTGTAAGGTAGGGGTGTATATTATCACCAACATTCTTCAATGATAAAAGAAGCTTGGGAAAACCTGACTGAAGGAATAACAATTGGAACACATATAGTGAAATCTTGCAGATGACAACGTAGCAATGAAACTTAATGAAACAGCAAATGATTTTACAATGAAATTAAACATGATAAAGACTTAAGTAATGAGAGTGTCAAGGAAAGAAAATACAAAATTAAACATTATTATCAAAGATAAGAAGTTGGAAGAGGTGAAAGTTTCACTATTTGGGTAGCCTTATCACATCAGATTTCTAAAGAAAGAAAGAAAAAGGAGCTACTGACTAAGAACTTTGAGAGGAAACTGAAGAACAGAATAATGAATATAGTTAAGTCTAAAGTATGGCAAAATATGTACTCGAGATATGGAAAATGTTACACCAGAAGAGGGAAGAAAGTGGATTTGTCCCATAAATCATGAAGAGGAAGAAAATCTGGATTGTGCATGTTTTGAGAGGGAATGTCCAGATAAAGCAGGTAACTAAGGGAAAATTCCTTAGGAGAAGATCAAAATGGAGGTAAAGAATGATGACGTCCAACAATAAAGGACTTATGGACAGAAGGGCAGCTAAAGATAGAGTTAAATCAAAGGAAGAGTTGTGATTCAGACCTGTCTAAGGACAGAACACTTGATGATGATGGCAAGGATGATGACTTCCCAATGCCTGTTTCAATAGTCTAAATGCATAAAAAAATCCACAGGTGCTGTGTCTAGCAACTTAACCAGTATATTTTTGTAGGGAAGAGCATGAACACCCATTTCATTCTCTAATTTCTTTAGTTATGGAATGGTTGAACAAATATGTCTTGAAAGTAGCTTTTGTACATGTGACTTATGTTACTTTTCCAGATGGAGATCCTTCTTGATTATATTCCATACTGCTGTCTTAGGGAGGTGGATGGCGTTTGAAACTGACATTTGTGTTTGTGGATTCTCACTTGTTACAAGATGGTGCACTATGTTTAACTCAGCTGGAGTACAAATTGTTTCAGGTCTGTCTCTGGATGGTACTGGTGCTACAAGTTGATCCACATTCCTTTGTTTTCCATTGCCATTAGGTAAAAGGGATATCCCCATTTTGAAAACTCTACATCCCTGATCTGAATACATCTTTATACTCTTTAGTGTCTGAATATTTCGCATAAGAAAGAGCTGTTACATATCCTTCCCAAAAGTGAGCAAACTTTTGTGGCATCACATTACCAAAAATTATTTAAATGTAGTTCTGATATATGGTATTCCACTGTGACTTTATATTGACTACGATTGTCAAGTGACATGCATATTCAAAATATTTTAATATAACATACTCAAACCTCTGAATAAGTGAACTTCAGGGTAAAACAAGTTTTTGTAAAATTCCCCTTTAATCTAAAATCAGAATGTTGTCCTGAATAAAAAAAAATCAATAAAAGAGTGATGCACAATTGTAATTGCCAAAAAGAAGAAATAAAAAAGGAAATATGATAAGCCTCTCTCCTTAGGAAGGGAGGGAGACAATGACTTTATAGACAGTTACCTCAAATGACAGCATATTTTATGGAACTCTTTGTTGGAAGGTAAAAATATTTTAAAATAATTTAAACAATATTTTCAACTTTCTGATACCTTAATTACTTTATTGACAGACTTTAGGTTACTTCATAGTAATCAAGGTGGTTTTATTTCCTGCCTTTGTCCTAAGGGGTAAAAGCAGGATAAAACAGCAGTTTACATATAGAGTCTCGATACAGTCCTTTTACATTTGTTTTTTGCTCAAAAAACTTAACTTTCTTTAGTTCAAAATTATTGTAAACTGTTATATTGTTGGAAAATATGTCCATTACCTCGCTTTTCTTCATAAGCTTCTGCATAAGCATATTTCGAGCATTAGGTCCTTTAATTATCATGT